AATGGCCTCTGCGAACGTTTCCTGATCACCTCACTGCGTAGGGTCTTCCCCACCTCTACAGTCCTGTGACAATTGATTTGGCTCCCAGTGTACAGGTGACATACGGTATCACCCTATTAGGTTGTAAGGTTTCCGATAGCAGGAATTCTTTACATATTCTTCCAAGTTCATGGTAACTACTAGGTAAATGAGTGCATTGAGAAATACTAGGATCCGTTCAAGCTGCTTAGATTTACTGGGGTTCGAGGGCCTTTTTGTAAATATTTATGTAAAAAAATGTAATTCATAGAGCCATGTTCCTTTTTCCATCCCCACTGTTTCTCTTGACCTCTCACTTCACATTATTCTCAGTGGGTATAGTTCCTTTGAATGGGGCCCACTGTCTCAGTTTAAGACGAGAATGTAGACAAATGGAGAGAATCAGGGTTCCACTCCACCTCTGAGCCTAGCACCTATGAAGACAGAAATAGGAAAGAGCGTCTTCTCCCAAGAGTCTCGCCCCCATTAGATAGTTATTTCTTTTCTCTTTCCTCGGTTGACTCCATCTGTTTTTCTTTCTTTCGTTTTCTTCCTCTCAATACTGTGGTGAGCAATGGATGAGAGCTGAGAAAAGAGATTCGGGGTCTCTACAGCCTCCCCCCATGATCAGAGAGTGAAGGAAAGTCCAAGGCAACGTCCAGATCTCCCGGGCAACGTGCCTGAATCACCACCCCCCGAATACACACTCACACACCCATATGCATGCAATGCAAACACGCCCCTCCTCTCATCCTGCAAGTGTAACATCATGAAGAAGTGAGCTCCTTCAAGTGCAGAAAGAAGAAGGAAGGTGATTTTCATGTCCAGAGGTTACTTACTTTGGGCTTAGATGGTCTTCCTTGGAAATTGCTCTAATTTCAGGGCCAGTTTGCGACATTTAAATGTTTAGCTTTCACTCGATGTCTGAGACTTTTAAAGATGAAACTGTAAAGAGAACTCTTTACAATCACAAAGAGGTTGCTAAATTAACTTATACATGAGTCTAAAGTCATTTAAAAGGAGCAATGAATTAGTGCAAGTAAGCCAAACATTTCCAAATTATAGAATGTTTTTAGTAACTTTTATATTCAATTATGAGCTTTGGAGGATAGGGACCAGTATCAGAGTCAGGCCCATGGTAAGTGTATGCCGTATCTACTGACTGGTTGATGGCAGAAGACCGAATTCGTGGCTCCAATGAGTAAAATAGAGTAGGATCATCTTTCTGAAATGAAGGAAAAGGTGAGGCCAGGTCCTTCGTAGAGAATAATGTGCTGAGACCAATCCATGCTGCCGTGTCCTCGATAGGCCTAGGTGATGGCCGGATTGGAAAAAAGCGGGCTAGGGATGGTGGAAGTCAGGACCACAGAGGTTTTCCGCAGATCCTTAGTGGCCAGGTGTGTAACTGATCCTCACGGCATCTGTGAGTCCTCCAGCCTGAAGGTTAGCACTTGTCGCTCAGGAGGCAGAAAGCAGAGCAAGGGATGTAAGATTTAAGGGAAACGTACCAGGCAGACCTAGGCCCAGGAAACAAGACTGGATATAAGGCAGCGATCTGATGAGAACTTTAGTGATGCAGACGTTAGTGACTTCAGGTTGAAATAATTGATTGTGAGACTTGCTTGGCCATTTGAAAAAAGCGTATAGAGTTGGATTTTTCCCATCCGAGATACAGAATTGTTTAATAAAGTCCTCTGTAAAGTCAAGCCATTTGTTAGTTGAATTTCAATGTTTTGTTAAATAAGTGACAAAGCCCTTTTTATTGTCATTCAGGGACTTCTGGTAGTACAGGATAAAAAACAGCTGAACTCAATACGTATGTCAAACTTACTTACCAAATAAAATTATTTATTCCAGCAGTGATTTAACAATAGGTGTGGGACGTTTTCTGGATGTCAAGAGCCATTTAAAGCAGTTGCTCGTGCTTTTTACATGGCCGAGAGGAAGAGTTTGAACAGAACTCTGACCTTAAGAATACACGCCGTTCCCAACTTTCAAGCAGGTTGTGTCTCAAAAATGTTTGCTTGTAGAGGACTCATCTGGCAGTTAAGCTTCATTTTTCCAGAGAGGTGGTACACAAAATGGAAGCCCTGAGCCCAGTGGTTTTGAATAAAGGTTGCAGGTCCCCGTGCCCCAGGGGATAGAGAATGGATTTCCAAGCCCTACATTATGCAACCCCGCCTGCCCATCCCCCACCCTCTTTGCAAGGCTCTTCTTCTCCAGCTCCCTCACCTGCCCAGCTAACTGATTCAGGTCTCTTCAGTGTTCCACACCTGCTGCCTCCTCCACGGCCATCCATGAAACAGGTGGTCCCTCACCTCGGCACGCTTTGCTTCATCGTGCCTTACCCTCCTTTACCTGGTGAACGCCTGCTGATATGTAGGTCTCGGCTCCATTATCCGTTTCTCCTTCTGTAGGATGTAGGCCAGCCTTGACCCCACAGGTTGTTAAGATTCCAACGGCAAAGCCCAGTCTTACCCTTCTCAAAATACTGTCCTGCGATCACCTGTTCAGTCATCTGACTCCGTGCGGGCTAGTAGGGAAGGCGGCAGTGAAGGTGGCAGGTTCTGGGTTGTCTAGGTTCGATCTCGAGCTCTACCTTGTATTTGCTGGTCAAGTTGAGTATCATCTTCATCTGTGAAAAGACACTGCCTGCCCCACAGAATTATTGTTAGAGTTCAATGAGATTGTGTGTGTGTGTGTGTGTGTGTGTGTGTGTGTGTGTAGTTTAAGTGCGTTCACTGCTCCGTAGAAAATAAATTCTTCAATAAACTGAGGTGCACATATATTGGGTACTTATTATGTGCAAGCTTTTTGTTGTTTTTTTTTTTTATTTTGCTTTTTTAAGCAAGGTACTCCTGAGGCTGTTTTCCTGGGAGTTCACTTTCTTCCGTTCTTTTTGTCTGATCATCTTGATAAGATTAGAGTGTCAGAGTTTAAAAATGTCAATACTATGTTCGATGCCCCATTTTCTTATTTCTTCCCAATCTGTGTAGCTTTGAGGCGTGACATAAAGACATAAAATGGAGTGGGAGTGAGCAAAGAAACTATTGCATTCACAGAACCTGTTTTCCATCCACCTCCTGGGGAGATCTTGCTTACTGAGTTCTCAGTTGTAGATTCTGCCTCTGGGCACAGCTCTTAAATCCTTGCCTATTTCAGAGCCCTTCCCTTGGAGGCCTCCGTCTGGGAAGTCCTGTGCAAAGAGGCCTGAGCCTCAGGCTCAGTAAGGACAGGACTGTAAGATGCAAGCAAATAAGAGCATTCTCAGTGCTTCCTGCTTAGAGCTCCCCAATAAAAGGAAAAAAAAAAAGTTTGTTTTTTTTTAGTCACCAAATACATTTCAAAGGCAAAACTACAAATGAGTGCTACGTGGGTTATATATGACATTTTTAAAAGGTCTTTGGAGATGACAAAACAAAGAGCTTCCCACTTTCTTGGGCCCTAAGATTTTGTGCAAACATTGTGTCTGAAGAAGCAGTAAACATCATACCTTGCCACTAAATTTTGTGAAGGTGTACCCAGTACCCAGTGGTCGCCAGGCTCTGGAAGTTACTGTCCTTCGGATTTTCAGATGAGTCACTGGGTCTCGGGCCCCCAGAGGCACTTCGTTATGATTCAGTGCAAAGTACTGAGAGGGCTCGGCTTCCGGGAGCCAGCGGAGCCGGGAGGGGGTTGCAGTGGCTCTGCGTTGGCATGAGGCTTAATTGACACCTTTGATGTAGCCTGAGACAGAACCCGCACCTCCCACTGCTGCTTGGAAGACGTCAGCCTTACGCAGAAAAGGCATCTGCTGATGAATCCTGCCTCTCATTCAGCCTGCTCCGGGAGCAGCCTTAGCCATCCCTAACTAATCCCACTGCCTCCCATCCCCGCCGAGCTGGGCTTAGTGCTGAGGAGGGATTGTGCCTCTTGCCGTTGTTAGTCCAAACACTAAGCCTGTGTCCATGTTAGAATTCATAGAAGGTAAGTCAAATGCGTTGTCGCTCTCCCTTTTGGAAAATGTTTATCATGTGCCCTCAAGACTGTGTGTGTCTCACTACTAATTCTACTTCCCCGACTGTCGATGTAAAATGTGTAAAATGATGGTGACCTTACATATCTTTATAAAGTCGTGTCTTTAAGTGTTTTGTGATGTTACTCAGAGAAGAGCATTGCTTGCTTGGTTTCGGTGGCTGTGATTCAGTTTAGTGATCATGTTGTAGAAAAGTCTTAATATCATCGGGTAAAAAATTCCAGTGATTTAAACCTATTAGAAAGCAGCTTTATTTTTCAACAGTGTAAAGACAAATGGTGAGGAGTTCCTGAGTGTCTGTGCCCGTTACTTTGTCCTGCTGCAGAGTTTAGGCTAAGGAGATGCACAGAGCAGAATTGGGTGCAAGAACTTCTAGAAGTGAGTTTTAACTGTACAAAGACAGTGATTTAGCTTAACGAGTCACTGGGAATATCACCCGTGAGCTGTGCTCATATTTATCCCTACCGGGTGGTCCTGGAAAGCTAAGCTAAAGAATCAAGGATTAATCCCATTGAAAATGTCCCAGAGTCTTAACCCCCTTCAAAGTCATCATTAATAAATTCATCAGGAAAGTTGTGAAAAGTACATTATAAAAATTTTTAATGTAACCTGCTGCACATTAAACACCAGATTAACAAACAGTGAATTTCCAACGAAAGTTATTCCCTGAAGCTTTTCCTCAGGACCACAGATAAAAAAGGTATCTGGAATTTTAGCAAATGTTCCTGTGTAATTGTTTATAAAATTTTTAATGTAACCTGCTGCACATTAAACACCCAGATTAACAAACAGTGAATTTCCAACGAAAGTTATTCCCTGAAGCTTTTCCTCAGGACCACAGATAAAAAAGGTATCTGGAATTTTAGCAAATGTTCCTGTGTAATTGTTTATTTCTCCAAGAAGCTGACTGGTCATGAAACTTCATTAACATGCCGTTTTTCCTCTCTGTGATTCTTTGTTCTTCTAGTTAATGGAACCCCTGGTAGTCAGCTCTCCACTCCGCGCTCGGGCAAGTCGCCAAGCCCCTCCCCCACCAGCCCAGGGAGCCTGCGGAAGCAACGGGTAAGGAAATGAGCAAGCTGCTGGCTTGAGACCTGCCTGAGCCTTGCTGCACAATGGCACAGGTGCCAGCAAATAGCTCTCTTGTCTCTATGTCATAACCAGGCGAGGGCAGGCGGTGACCAGCAGTGGGTCGTGGCCACGGTCTCTCAGGGCTTTCTCTTTCTCTGTCAATGTGTCTAAACTAAACCTTAACTCAGGAGAATAAACAGGTGCTGCTCCACTTATAAACACCCAACTCTTTTTGTCTTGAATCAAAGACTGTGCTGGCACTGGTTTGTCAGCTTCCCTAGTTGTGACGAGCTCCACTAGACACTGTCACTGATGGTCAGCCTTCCTTTAGAAGGGAGAGGGGAAAGTGCCATTGTTGGAAGGGCGGGCCAGGCTGGGAGTGGCTCGTCTGCATAGAGTGGTCATCCAGAGCGGCTTAGGGTCCATGGTACAGAAAAAGGGTCCACGTGACATGTGTTTGTGAGTGAAGCACACAGTGAGCGCCTTGTTTTCCATCACCACTTGCATGTATTTTTAGCTTCTTGTATAATAATGGAGAAGTTGACTGAGCTTGGAGAGTCAAAGAGTAACTGAACACTGAGCTTCCCCACACCAAGGGAGGGGTGAGGACGAGCGCAGCCCTCACAGTGGAAGAGCTGTTCTTATCTGCTCACAGCGTGTACTGTCTGTTTTCCGGTGATGCCAAGGCAAGGCTCAAAGGCGTGGGAAGCGGCGGGGATGTGCAGTGGAGAGCCTGGAAGGCCCTTCGCTGTCCGGATCTCACAAGTGAGGGGGAAGGAACACGTGCACTCAGGAGGCTTTGTGACGGTACCCACTGAATATTTTAATAAGCGAGGGCTCCTTGGAGACTTCTGAATTCAAAGACTGTATTCTCGAATTTGCTTTCTTTTGTGACGTGTTTCAAAGTGAGACTCCTAAGTTCCATAAACTTCAGCTGGAATCAAATGGAAGCTCCTCTGTTCATGTCCCCGCCAAGGCTGTGTCTACAGGCCACCGGCTAACAGTGGGGGCAGGGACTCCGTCCGTCCCCAGCTCCTTTGGAGCCCGTCCCACCAAATATCAGGTTGTGTTGTCTCTCCCCGCTTATCGTCCTGGCATCAGATTTGGCTCATCAGATTGTCTGGTGAGGCCTGCGTTTGGCAGCAGCTCCACTCTGTGGCTGTGTTATCTTAGATAAGTCAGCTATCTTCTCTGGGCTTCAGTTGGGAAAACAAAAGAAAGAAAAGAAGCTCTTTTCAGATAGAAAACCCAATAATACTATTTCAGTTCCATCGGAGTGTTTTCACCATGATTTTCTTCTTACGGTCTCATTTGGTGATTTAAAGTACAGGAGTCATTCGCAAAGCAGTTAAAGAAGAATTGGCCAAATTAATCTCCTAAATGCCTATCTTGAGCGGAGGAAGGGGTAATAAGGTGATTCTTTTCTTATAAATATTACCGAGCGAGGTCCTCATCTGTTGGAACAGCTATTAGATATAGCACGGAAATGGCCCTTTTTCATAGCACATCCTCTCTTTTGAAGTGTATACTTTGTAGACCACACCTGGCATAGAAATTCCTCTTTATCCTTTGAGCTTATTAAACTCAGATTCAGCATTTTGCTCATGCTTAGTTGTTGAGATTAAACTAGAGTGATTGAGCATCCCTGCCATGGATCCAAACTTCTCGCCCTCCTTCTTAGAGCAGAGAGTTCTATCTCGGGGACATAAAGCACTTTGCTCAATGGTCCCTTTGTTTGCAGAATGAGGCTAGAATTTACTTCTGCTCTCTGAATTCCCTGCTTTGCTATTATTTTGTCCAACCAAGGCAGAAAATTTCCATCCAGCTACTAGCAGCTGTGTGGCCAATGGCTTATATAATTAACATTGTCAGCACTTGGGGAATGATTATAAGGGATGGGTCTCATAGATTCTTCATTTTGTCATTTAAACTACCAATGTAGTAAGTACCATACTTGAGAGGGAAAAACAATCCCATTTGTTTTATGGAGATAAAGAGTTTATCATCATCTGAAAACATTTATTAAGGACACATTGTGAGCAGAGCACTGGCTAATTCAGAGATGGCTTAGTTTCCAGCTTTTGAATAGAGGCCATGAATGAACAGCCTCCCTTCGTGTACCATGTCGGTGGCTGGGGACGTTCCCAGCTGCTTTAGCAAGAGGAGCTTTCATCTTGGTGTGGAGGCCACTGCATCAAATGACCTCTCTCGATTAAACTGGCCCTCAAATAGCCCTAAAAACTGATCCCGTTTCAGATTTGGTGAATGTTCTTCTCAAATGGTTGGCTATACTCCTATGCAGGAAATACCAAAATAAGTGAAAGATGGCGGTGCTAAAAGAAGACATTTCAATGAATAAATTAACTCTTTTTATTGCAAATTGGAAAACAGTAGCTACTTCTATTTTTCCCTTTGTGTTGCCTAGCAACATGGCCAGGAAAATTATTTGGCTCTCCCCCTTCCCCTGCCACACACACGCACACACACACACATACACACACACGCACACATACACACACACGCACACAAACACACACACACAAACATGCACTCACATGCACACATGCACACGCACACACACATACTTCCTACCTCGTTTTAAAACACAGGAACATACGTTGTCTTTTTAAAGGAATTTTGAGACATTTGACAGCTTTCTTCACAAATAAAATCTATATTTTCATTCATATTAATTATGATAATTTAATCAGCTTTTCTTCCTTCTCTTAAATTCATTTTTATGTTATCTCTCTTTTGGTATTTTAGAATAGTTATGTACAATAAGCGTCTGCATGCCAGATATTTTTCTTCATGGAAGTGTTGGCGGCAATGTACCAATCAACCTCGCTGTTTTTATAATACAGTTATTTGAATTGCTGTCTAGAAACATTTGACTGGTCACAGAAGCAGACCTTTTCCATCTATGAACTTTTTTGGGTCCAATTTCTTAATATATCAGGAAGAAGTATGTTGTGTGGGTTGAACGAAGCTCCCCATTATACTCCCACATTGCTGACTTTTGTAGATTATCCGATCACTCAGATGTGAGGAGTGGGTGGTACAAAAGAAGCCAGGATTCTAGACACTCTCTGCAGATCTCAGCTGGTTGCCTGGCTACCAACAGAGAGGTCTCGTAGCAGGAAGGGTGGAGGGGACGTAAGGGGAGGTGACAGGTGAGTGGTTGGGGAACCAGAGAAGACCTTTGGGAAGGGGGAGGGGTTAGGTCAAGTTGGCATGTTTTCTGTCTTCCAAACATAAAATTTGAAACGGCAATGTTTATTAGGTTTGCTCAATGCAAAAATGCAACCTTGAGTTACTGCTCTGGGAGCAGAATTTGACTTGCTGAATGGCAGCCAGGGCTCCTAATAAATTATTTTGTGAGATAAGCATGTTCTTCTTCTACCCAGAATGGGAAGGAAATGTTCAAGGAAGCATTGTTTAGACCCAGAGAAGCAGAGCTGGCACTGACAGACCTCGGGGGCAGTAAGACTCAACCGCACACAAAGGGAGGCAAAACTCATGAGCAGATCAAGTCAATAAGGCAAAATCAGCACCATTTTTGTCTTTTTAGGTGGTTTCTCATTTATTATTTTTCCTCTTATCCAAATTCGGTGACTCTAAAGGGTTTAATGATATTAGACACCAGTAACGCTCCACTCCTAAGAGAGCCACAGGGCTCCCCGAGAAAGCCCAGTAAACAAACCTGTCCCGCCCTTCGTCTTACAGGACCTGTACCGCCCCCTCTCTTCGGATGATTTGGACTCAGTAGGAGACTCTGTGTAAAAGAGACAATGGAGCGATGTGTATGGTTTGTGATTGGGTGAAGGTTTCCCATTTCCTAAGCGAAAGTCTAACAGCGAAACACACAAAAGAGTTTTGCATCCTTTGATATTATGAAGCCCAAGTCTTATAAAAGTAAATATACAGGCATTTTGTATTCACGATGTTGATCCGGAAGATTTTTTAAAAATATCTTTTACATTGATTTGATTGAGGGTCGAGGCTTTTGTGCAAGGCCTGGCTCCAGATGAATTTCACATACAGACTCACTTCTGAGTATAAGAACATGCTAATCATACAGCAGTACAGAATTATAATTTCTGTAGGTGGGGTTTTCATTTTAATCATAAGGAGACATGTAGATGCACTTTTTTTGGTGCTTTTGGTCAAGCAGATTAAAATGGCACTTGGAGACATTTTTTCTTAAAGTTGAAATCTTTCTAAAATTTGGATTGCTGATTTTTTTAAAGGTACTTTTATTGCAAAATAATAGAAATATTCAAGTAGAAGAGTTTTTTTTCCTTCTTAGTCAGTGGATAGTTAAGCTACTTATCATTCTGTGGGTTAATATAATTGAGGAAAAACACTCATGTCAAGGACACGTCTCACGATGACTAACGTTAGACGTTAGGAACGTTCCTTGTTTTTGTTGTCAAGCAAATTTAATTTTTAAACTTATCTTTTATTGGAAACAGCATAAATACAGCTTAAACCATATACTAACATGAAGAACTATAAATTATATAATTTCTCCCATAGCCATATATGTAATTTTTCAAATGTGTAAAGCCTGAAGCTAGGAAACTTTTTTTTTTACACAGACCTAAAAAAATTGTGTCTAAACTTCTTCCAAAAAATTAATTTTGAAAAGCAAAATTATTTTAAGTGGGACTGTATAAAGCAGGCCTAAAATGTTCAAATCTCCATTACAAGAAATCCGGGATCTTGCTGTTGTTCTGGAAATTTTCATATGCAAAACTCGTTTTGTGTTAAACCGAGTAAGTCTATGATTATAACTCATTGTTAACACTAACCTACTAATTCTTCTCTTCTAGTCCTCTATTTAAAAATCGTAGTCAGCTTTGCTTAAACATAAAATAATTATTTTAAAATCTGAATGTTAAATTAATTTAATGTGTATGGTCTATCGTATGTTAGCCATATCATAGTGATCATTTAGTTTACTCGTTCAAACACTAACAATTTAAGAC